CGACCCCAGATCTCACAGTGAGCTCTGCTGGCATCAGGCTTGGATGCGTCCCTGCCTTCCCACCTCTGGTGGCCTTACTGCCTCCTCATAGGTCTTCAGAGATGGTGGTGGGGATGGGGGCACCCTGAGAATGAGATGAACCGTGTGAGTCGGGCATGACCAAGACTAAACGGTCTAATTGTCTGGGAAAGATTCTAAGCGTCACTGGTAAGTCTTCTGGCTTGTGTCAGGATGAAGAAGCCTGTTTCAAAGCCGCCTTGACTCCCTTCCCCATTATTTTTTTAAATGTTTTGTGTGTGTGTGTGTGTGTGTTTTTAAATTGATTTCAAAGAGAGGAAGGGAAAGGGAGAGAGAGAAACATCAGTGATGAGAGAGAATCAGTTTGGCTGCCTCTAGCTCGCCCCCTAATGGGGATCGAGTCTAAAACACCAGACATGTGCCCTGACCTGGAATCACGACCTCCTGGTTCATGGGTCGATGCCCAACCACTGTGCCACACCAGCCAGGTGACTCCCTTCACTATTAATCTGTTGATGGGCCAGCAGCAAATCTCACACAGCAGGATAACCTCATCATTTCCAAACTGAGATCCTTAACCTCCTGAAGATGGGGAGGGGACTGACAACTAAACCCTCGTCCTCTTAACCTTCTGAACTTTGCCCTTAAGGGGCTTCATATTCAGTTAGGGTTTTTGCACTTAGGGAAAAAGCTAAGAAACATTTTTTAAATCCCGAGTAACTGAGATAACAGAAGTCACAGAGCAGCATGTGATTGTTTTTTTAAATTGCTCAGGAAAAAACAAACATGGTGAGTGCCCAGGGGAGCCAGCCAGTCTGGGAGTCAGTGGAGAGAAAAAACTTCTGGTACGGATTTCAGGCACAACCACCAGGCCAGCAAAGGGTGGTTGTGGGTGCTGTGGGTGGTGTGGGTGGCAGGAGGGCAGGGTTCAGGCTAAGCTGGGGAGGGTGAGCCCTCCAGACAGTGGGGGGGGGGGCAGAGGGGCCAATGAAGGCTCCTTACCCTGGAGGACTGGGACCAAAGTGGAGGAAAAGGCCCTTCCCGGTACTAACAAGCCAGACACCTGAGAGTCGCCCTTGTCCTCCTGCTCCCCCACCCCACACACTTTCTCCCCAGAAGGGAGGACAGACAAGGCTCCCGGGAGAGGGGGCGACCCCTGGAGGACCTACTCCCTGCACGTGGCCTAAAGGAGCAGCAGCCGGCTGCCTGTAGAAGCATCTCCTCTATGTGCTTCCAGAGCAGCTGTCGTGGCTCTCACAGGCCTTTACGGTAATTATCCCCACAACTGTCTGCACTCCCCAGTGGACCATAAGGTCCATGAGGCGGGGAGACACTCAACGATCTGATTAAATAAATAAATGGGTGATGGAAGGAGGGAGGGCGAAAGAGGGAGGTAAGGAAGGGAGAGAGGGGGCAGTGAACAAGTGCCTTAAGGACCGCGCGGGGCAGCCGCACACAGGGTCACAGGGCGGCACAACTCTAGGGACACCACTCAGGTTGTCCTCAACGTGGATGGCACCTGCAGCAGCACCACTGGCAGGGGCAGGGCAGGGAGGTGGCTGGTCAGAGGGAGGGGCTGGCCTGCCGGCCTCCGCCTGGGAAAGTGGCTGGAACCTGTTGTGTCCATCCATCTTCCTGCTGCTAGAGGAGTCCCAGGGAAGGAAGCTCGGAAGAGGCCACAGCCCATCCGATACATTCACATCCCTCCTCCTCACTACACACACCGAAATGAACCTCAGCCCCCTTAGAATGCCTTCAGAACTGAGGAGGAAGATGTGTCCCCCAGACCCACTCTCCTTCCTTAGACACCTGCCCGTGCCTGTCTTCTCGGCTGCCACCACATACCCCCATCGGGACTGGTGTGCGTCTCCCGGCTGTCCCCCACCACTGCCAGCAGCAGGGGCATGGCCAGCAGCCCAGAGAGCCATCGAAGTCCCAGCAGAATTGCACAGCCTTCCCAGTGCAAGGACACCCCTTATCCTGGGTCCACAGCACCCTCCCCACAATGCTACCCACTGCCAGGCTGACCCTGCCAGCCTGTATTCCACGGTCCAGTGGACAGAGGTCATTCTGCTGCCAGGAGCAGGGGCTCTCTCACCGGCTGGAGGTGTTCTCTCATGAGTGGCTCTTCAAGGCTTCCTACTCAAACCAGGTCCCTGGCATCTCTGGAAGCCTGACGCTTCTCCTCATCACCAGGCTCCAGGCTGGACACTCCTCTTTGGAATCCAGCGGTCCTCACACACTTGCCGGGCACAGAAAATCAGAGAAGACCACATCTCTCCAGATCCCTCCCCTGGCCCCTTCCCAGGGGACTCAGCTCATTCAGGGAAGCCCAGCTACTAAGTCTCGGGTATGGAGAAGGTGAGGGAACCTCCGAGGTCACACAGGGAGGGAGGGAGAGCTGGGGATGGGGGGGTGGAGTGAGCGCCAGAGCTCAGGGTCTCCCTCCACTGCAGAGGCTGCACAGGATGCTGGCACAAAGGACCAACACAGGCAAAACTGTGTTCAGGTGAGACGACAGCAGTGGCTGCAGGGGCAACTCCCCAGTCCCACCACACTCAGAGATGCACATTCCCCTGCCCAGCTCAGGCACCCCGAAAGCTCTGTAAAACTTAAGGTAACCCACTGATGACACACCCATGTTGGAGGAAGCTTTTCAGAGCCTAGGACTCCCTGCTGGGAGGGGCCAGAGTGGCCAATAGCCAATCCCACTGATAGCAGAGACTAACATCCATAATGACCGTGCTCCAAGGACCCACAAACCCTGCCCCCAATCAACTAGCCCTGTATTCCCACCCAACCCAGCCCCAAGCCTGACCAGGTAGTGGCAACCCTCACCCTCTCTTAGGAAGACTCCCCAGTTCTGGGCTTCCTCAATTCAAGGTCATCTCATTTCCCCAAGGACATGTTAGTGACTGAGAGCAGGAGATGACCCACAATGGGATTCTGGGTAAGTCCTCCCCATCCCTGGGGCCCAGACATCCCACCTAACACTCCAGGAGGCGGGGGCTCCATCTCTGAGGCCAGAGCTCTAATTTCTGTGATTTCAGCAGCAAAAGGGGATCTGCAGGACTCAGCAGGGGCCTCAGCCCATCAGGGATGCTGAGGGAGCCCTGAGTTTTCACTCAAACTCCCCCAAGACATTGTCCTCAGCAAAGCCCTGGCCTTTTACTAAAACATGGTCAGACTTGGAATAAACAAATGTTCATGGAGAACCTCCGAGGTCCTGGCCCTTCGAGGGGCACTAGGGAAACATTCAGGAGTAAGAGGATTGTCCTCGAGTAACCATTCCACAGAAAGAGAAACGGAGGCTCAGCGATGCCTCAAAATCTGCTCTAGGAGCTGAAGCTCGGAATTCCCTGCACAATTCTCTCCCAGGGCTCCGGGCCCAGTGAGGCCAGCACTGGGGTGGGGAGACCCTGAAATCCCTTTAGGCCTGGGGAAAAGTGGAACTGAAACTGGAATCTATTAAGATCAGAAATTCAGAGTCCAGGCCACAGGGCTGGCTGGCTGAGTTGTCCTTGTTCTGAAATGCCCATCCCCACACTAGGGCCTGACCACCTTCTGATACCCTTCCCCCTTACCATCCATCCCAGGTAATGGGCAGCAGACAGGAGACTGCCATGTGACCCCCACAACCCACAGGCACACACACCACAGTAACAGTGTTCCCTGAGCCCACCAGGTCCTCCCAAGGTTGCCTGCATCTTGGCCTTTGGCACAGAAAGACACAAACTCGGTGAACTGGTCTGGTCCGTAGAGCCAGAGCGGGGAGTCCTGCCCCCAGGGGCTGCCTTCTCCCTGAGAAGAGCTGGGCAGGGCCTGCAGCTCCAGGGTGAGAGGCCTCCGGAGGGATGCACTGAGAACCATTCCTTCCTACAGGTGTCACACGGGCCCATGCTCTTCAATCCCGTCTTCCCACCTTGGGACCCACCTGGGTTTCAAAGATGCTTTCCCAAGGGAGGCTGCTAGCAGCAGGGAAGCCGAGTCTCTCCCCTCTCCCCGCCCCTGGCCGGCTGCCACGGTGACCTCCCCTCCCCCAAGAAGGGCGGTGAGCTAGGAGGTGGGGGTGGGAAGAATCGCTGCCAGCGCTCTCGGGAGGGGTGCGGGGAAGCTGGGCAGGGCGTGTCGCCTGATCCTTTCTCTGTCCAGGGCCAGGCTTCACCGCCGCCTCCGGGTGAGAGGCACCCCTGCACCATCCCCCAAATCGGCTTCGCGTTGGGGAATCCTTGCTGCCATCGCCCAGACCCCGGAGCCCTAAAGAGGCTAACACATGCCGGTGAAGGGCAGCGGGTCTAGAACCTTCTGTGTCCAGGGGAGTAGCCAGGGGACATAAGCCAGGAGAAGGAGGCGCCCCACGGCCCAGATTCGCTCCTTCGAGAGGAAGCAGGTGTCCGTTTATACCCCCGTCCCCCGCCCTTTGCCTCTGGGCCTGGACGCATGGTTGCGGGCAGGGTCCGCGGGGAACCGCTCCGGTGCATTGCGCGGGGGTCGGCAGACGCCAAACCCACCTCTTTCCCCCAGAGGGGCGGACAGGCTCGGCGCCCTCACCCCGCACAGCTCGGGGTCACCTGCTCGGCCCGGACCGGGCAGCGCGTCTCCCAGGATGCGCTTTGAATAAGTCCATGCCAATCGGCGGGCCTGTGGACGCGCATTCCCAGGCCCACGCCGGCCCCTCTGCCACGTGAGCAAATCAAATTTTCGTTGCTTTACATGCTCCGCACCTGCACCTGCACCTGCACCGCACCCCTAGCCCCCACCCCAGATCCCACTGTCACCCCCATCTCTGGCCCCAGCGTTTTCTATCCTTGGTCCCTCCCCTGCCCGGCCCCGCCCGAGCCGCCCCGACCTCCAAAGCCCATCCCTCCCTCTACTCGGGCGTGGAGGGGCCTCTCCCTGCCGGGGCCGGGGTCCCAAAGGGGTGTGCGATTTGGCGGCGGGGGACGACGGCGCCACGCCGAGAGACTAAGCGGGGTACTTACCGCTCTGCTCCCCCAGGAACACCAACTTGAATTTTCTCAGTGGGTTCCCAAAATCTCCCCCTGCGGACATGGTGCTGGCAGCCGGGGCCGGGAGAGAAGGAGGAGAAGCGAAGGAGCCGGAAGGGGAGAGGAGGAGGGCGCGGGGAGGCGGCCGGCGGTGCGGGAGCCGGAGGGGGA